ATCCCTTTACTTGATGCAATCAAACAAATATCGAGATATGAAAAAATCTTAAAGGAGCTTTGCACCAACAAGAGGAAGTTGAAGGGAAATTAGAAAATTTTGATTAATGAAAATGCATCCGTGGTCTTACAAAGGAAACTTCCACCCAAATGCAAAGATTCCGGAATGTTCACGGTTCCTTGCAAGATTGGAGATGTCACTTTTAGTAGTGCTATACTTGATCTTGGTGCCTCTATCAATGTCATTCCCTATTCGGTGTATGAATCATTGAATGTCGGACCCTTAAGTGAAAACGGTGTCATAATCTCTCTTGCGGATAAATCAAGTGTCTTTCCTAGAGGTGTTTTGGAAGATGTCCTAGTGCAAGTGAACCAATTGGTCTTCCCGGTGGATTTCTATGTGATTGATCTAGATGAGCAAGTATCCTCCAAATCGGCTCTAATCTTTCTTGGAAGACCGTTTTTGAAGACAGCTAGGACGAAGATCGATGTGTATGCAGGAAGTTTGACAATGGAGTTTGATGGCGAAACAATAAGTTTTAATATTTATGATGCCATGAGATATCCTAGTGATGTTTCATCTTTGTACTTTGTTGATGTTGTTGAGCCAATTACCCAATAATTGTTTGAGTTATCTAACGGTGATATGTTGGAGATGATCTTAAGCAAAGGATTTGATTGTGGGAGGCTAGCCAAGCAATTAAACCTTTATTCTTTGGATCCGGAAGTTGAGAAGTTGGTAAATAAAATGGAGATGAAGAACTCTACAAGATTAGATGTCAAACAAATTGAATTGCCCCTAACTCATACAAAATTGTCTCTATCCCTTGTTCAACCACCCGAATTGGAATTGAAGGTCTTACCTCAACACTTGAAGTATGCCTACCTGGGAAAGAAAGAAACCTTTCTGGTTATCATTTCAACTCACTTAACCGAATTTGAAGAAGAACAACTCATCAAGGTGTTGAAGGAGCATAAAGAAGCCATGGGTTGGACGATTTCGGATATTAAAGGATTGAGTCCCTCCACTTGTATGCACAAGATCCTAATGGAGGATGAATGCAAGCCAAGCCTGGACGCACAAAGAAGGTTGAATCCGGCTAATGATGGAAGTGGTCAAGAAAGAGATTTTGAAGCTCCTAGATGCGGGGATGATCTACCCAATCTCGGATAGCAAGTGGGTGAGCTCGGTGCAAGTCGTTCCAAAGAAGACGGAAATCACGGTGGTCGAGAAAAACAAAGGTATGATGGTCCCCACCCGTGTGCAAAACGGGTGGAGAGTATGTATTGACTACCGCAAACTCAATGCAAGAACAACAAAAGATCATTTCCCTTTGTCTTTCATTGACCAAATGTTAGAAAGTTGGCCGAGAAATCTCATTGTTGTTGTCTCGACGGGTATTCCAGTTTTCACCAAATCCCGGTGGCACTGGAAGACCAAGAAAAGACGACATTTACATGTCCATTTGGTACTTTGCATACCGGAGAATGCCATTCGGATTATGTAATGCCCCGGCCACTTTCCAACGTTGTATGGTTAGTATCTTTTCGGAATATGTTGAAAATATAGTTGAAGTTTTTATGGATGATTTCACGATATATGGCAACTCTTTTCAAGAATGTTTGACCAATCTCACAAAAGTTTTAAAAAGATGCATTGAAACAAACTTGGTTTTGAATTTTGAGAAGTGTCATTTCATGGTGAGTTAAGGTCTCATTTTGGGTCACATTGTGTCTAAAAAAGGAATTGAGGTAGATAAGGCCAAAATTGATGTTATTCAAAGCCTACCTTACCCGACTTGTGTTCGGGAAGTTCGTTCTTTTTTGGGCCATGCAGGTTTCTACCGAAGGTTCATCAAAGATTTTTAAAAAATAACAAGATCAATTTCCCAACTCTTGCAAAAGGAGGTCGATTTCGAGTTCAATGAGGCGTGCAAAGAAGCTTTTGACAAGCTCAAAGAGTTGCTTACATCCGCTCCCATCATGCAAGCACAAAATTGGGATCTCCCCTTTGAGATCATGTGTGATGCAAGAAACTATGCGATAGGCTCCGTTTTGGGCCAAAAGAATGGGAGGGCCTCCCACGTGGTCTATTATGCATCAAGGACACTAGACAATGCTCAAAGCAATTACTCTACCACGGAAAAGAGCTATTGGCCATAGTGTTCATCTTGGAGAAATTCAGACAATACCTACTCGGTACCAAGGTCATAGTTTATTCGGATCACGCAGCTCTTAAGTACTTGATGAAGAAGAAAGATGCAAAGCCGAGACTCATCCGATGGATCCTGCTGTTACAAGAATTTGACTTGGAGATCCGGGAAAAGAGCGGATGAGAGAACCTCGTTACCGATCATCTAAGCCGGATCACTTCAAATGAAACTCCTCTCCTATTGCGGGACGAGTTACCAGATGAGCATCTATTTTCCCTTACTCAATCTATTCCTTGGTATGCCGATATCGTTAACTTTTTGGTCACAAAAAGGTATCCCAACACATTCACACGTGCTCAAAAAGACAAGCTCAAAAGTGATGCAAAATATTATGTGTGGGATGAGCCTTATTTGTGGAAACATTATCCTGATCAAATCATTAGGCGATGTGTACCCCAACAAGAGCACCAATCCATTTTGCAATTTTTTCATGAATTTTCTTGTGGGGGACACTTCCGACCTAGCCAGACTTTGAGAAAATCCTTGAGTGTGGATTATTTTGGCCAACCATGTCACGCGCTTGTTATATGTTTTGCAAAAGTTGTGAGCGGTGCCAAAGGACGGGAAACATTTCGCATAAGAACCAAATGCCCCAAAATCCAATCCTTGTTTGTGAAATTTTTGACGTATGGAGGATTGATTTCATGAGCCCATTTCTCGTCTCATTTGGCAACGTTTATATTTTACTCGTGGTTGAATATGTTTCTAAATGGGTTGAAGCCAAAGCCATAAGATCGGACGATGCCAAAACGGTTATCGAGTTTTTAAAGTCTAATGTTTTTGCAAGTTTTGGTGTGCCTGGGGCTTTGATTAGTGATAGAGGGACACACTTTTGCAACAAAATGATGGAGGCTCTATTGAAGAAGTACCACGTGACCCATCGTGTCTCTACATCCTATCACCCTCAAACGAATGGTCAAGCGGAGGTTTCAAATCGTGAAGTGAAGTCTATTCTAAAGAAAACAGTGAATCCAACAAAGAACGATTGGAGTTTGAGACTTGATGATGCCTTACAGGCCTATCGGACTGCGTACAAGACCCCGATAGGAATGTCCCCGTTTAGGTTGGTCTTTGGAAAGCCCTGTCATCTTCCCATCGAGTTAGAGCACAGTGCATTTTTGGCGGTCAAGCAATGCAACTTCAACATTGACGAGACGGGAAGGCATAGGAAACTTCAACTCCAAGAACTAGAAGAATTGAGAAATGACTCCTATGAAAACGCAAGGATTTATAAGGAGAAAACGAAGCTCTTCCACGACAAGTCCATCACCCGGAAGAATTTTAAACTAGGGCATAAGGTCTTACTTTACCATTCACGACTAAAGTTATTTCCAGGAAAATTGAGGTCAAGATGGATAGGTCCGTTTGTTGTGTTAAAAGTTTTTGAACATGGAGTGGTTGAAATTCAAAGTGAAGAAACGGGGCAAGTCTTTAAAGTTAATGGGCATCGATTGAAACCTTTGTATGAAGGTTTTAATGCGAATATCTTAGAAGTCATCCAATTGGATGCCCCGGTATACTGAAATCAAGAAGGGAGCACATCTCGCCAAAGACGTTAAAGAAGGTCATTTTTGGAAAACTAAAAGTTTTCAACTTTTCTAGTTCCAAATAAATGTCGTGGTTGGTTCATTTTTGGATTTAACATCTTTTCTTCTTCCTTATTGAGATAAAAGAATGTTGGAATTAAGGGCCCGGTGTTCGTAATGGTGAAAGAGCAAAAAGAATGTAGGAATATGTCAAGCCAGCACATGCGGTCCGCGTGTACTCGAGTATCCGTCCGCGTGTTTATTTATGCGGTCCGCGTATGGTCCCTCTACCGTCCGCGTCCATTAAACGAAAACAGAAGACATCCAGTGAAGCTCACGCGGTCCACATGTACCCAATGCCTCGTCCGCGTGTTTATTAAAACGGACCATTTGTGGGCAGTATCGATCTTGTGTCGTGAAATATAAATCAGAACAACTATTGGCTTACTCACGCGGACCGCCTGTACTAGATGCCTCGTCCACGTGAGGTGTTGACCAGCGTTGACTCCTTTTTTGACCAGGTTTGACCGCCAATTACCCCACCTTATACCCAGCCGGCCCTTCCTTCTTCCCCACTTCTTCTTCTTCTTCTTCTCCCTAACCTCCATTAGACAACCTTCATCTCCACCACTAAAACTCACTTTCCCATCAAACCACCGGTCGGAATTTCGCGAGACCACCGCCATTCTTCTCCAATTTCAGAGCTCTACAAACCCCACTAAAACAACTGTCCGATCTGTTGCTGTATCTCGGGGCGCCACCACTCTCCCACCGCCACTTTCCGGCCGATTTCCGGCCAACTCCTGCCACCTCTCGTGATTCCGCCACCACCATTGTACTCCTCTTGGGCAAGGCTACAAACCCCACCAAAAATATTTCCCAAAGCTCGCCGAAAAATTTCACCGGAATTTCAAGCCATTGCCGGATTCGTCGGGTTTTTGCAGTAAATTGCTTCTCTCAGGATATCAAACAAAAGCTTAAGCCTGGGGTGGAGAATTGCAAGATTGTCAAATTCCAAATTTTCGCGCGCAAACTTTGAACTTTCAACAAAAACGGGTATTTTCTTTCCTTTGTTTAATTGATCAAGATGCATGCCCGTTCATATGCTACTGTATCAAATGAATTTAGGAATCCCTTCTTGCTTTGATTATTGAATCGTTTTAGAAGCCCATAGGAAGTTAGTTGGTGATTTGGGGTTGACATATTGTTTGTTGAAATTGTGGTTCGTATAGTGGTTATTTTTTTTTTCATGCAGGAAGCCCATGTCTACTTCTAGGAAGCGTTCGGCTGCTAGCCGAGGCAAAGCCGCGAAAAGAGATCAAAGCTATGCTCCCGATTTCCTAAGGTTTCGGGATGCCAAGGTAACCGAAAACTACACAAAGAGCCTGTCTAGAAAAGTTGCATCTACCAAATTCGTTTGTAAGCCTACACTTATATCACTTATGGTTCTCGAAGGGGTCACCCAATTGTTCCGTAACATTTGGTGGGAAAACCTTCTCAACCTCATGGCGCACACTTATGAGCTCCCTACTAGAGAGTTTCTTGCTGACAGCGGATACGACAACAAAAAAAAGAAAGCCGCATTCCAGCTTCTAGGGGACCGAAGGTACATCGATTTTACAACGATAAACGACATCTTGGGCTTGCCTTCTTCAGACACATCCACGATTTTCGACGTCCTACCTGCTGAGTTCAATCATGAGAAGTTTTGGACGGAAATCACCGGGGGTATCTTCTCGTGTGCCGGTCGGGATAAAGCAACATCTATCATCCACCCATGCCTCCGCATTGCCCATCGCATCCTTGTGTGTACGGTTTTTTCCTGTAAAGAAGTCGGTCAGGTCACCAAAAATGAACTCTTCTTCCTTTGGTGTATGACAAGGCGTGAAAAGGCCACCAATCCCGGACTTTGCTTCATTCTTCTTCCACAAATGCGCCCACATGAGATCCAAGACATCCAGTGATATTTACATTGGGGGATTTGTCACACTTTTGGCTCGCAGTCTTGACATCGAGCTCCCTGATGAATTCCAGCCTGTTGACAACAAAAATATCTTGGATGAGCGCGCCCTCATAAACATACACCACATCCATCGCAGGAACAGGAGCAACTTCACGTGGTTTTGTCCTCAAGGGGTGGGGTATCTCGTTCTTCCCGACCCTCGAGTTACCAACTTCACCTTCCACGATTGCACTCAATGGATACTCGCGAGGACCATCACTCAGTCAGTCAATGAGGATGTGGTCTAAGATCAAGATGATGACGAGATGCCTATGGATGACGAGCCCGACGATGAGCCCACCCATGGTCCGCAACCCTCCCAGCCTCAAGCCCAACCCATGTGTTACCCGCATCCCCCCAATTTTGCCGAGGGATTCGATGTGCTTTGTGTCTCAAACCAAATCATGCCCAGCAAACGCATCATATGTGGGGATGTCACCAATCCCAAAACCACTTCGAGAACGTCCCACTCCCGCCTCCCTATCCATACCCCCTACCTACCCATCCTTATCCCCCTCCACCTTACCCTTACCCCTACCCCCAATCTCCGCATCCTCCTCCCGATCTGCCGGTTTAGGTACTTTCGCCTCGCCCCAAGCATTGAGGACAATGCTTATTTCTAAGCTTGGGGTGTGGTATTCCCTTTTTGTTTTTTCTTTCTCATGCATTTTAGCTTAGGTTGCATAGCATTTAGCCTTAAATTGCATTCATTTTAGTTTTTACTTTTATAAAATTCCAAAAATATTTTATTTTATTCTTTTTCTCTTTTTATTTTTTTACATGGCATTTAGCTTAGGGCATTAGCATTCATGCATTTTTGTTGACTGTTTATTCTCACCTCTCTTAGATGCCATGGAACAGGTTCACATTTATTGTATCATTATTGGTCCAGGATCTTGTTGGTATCTCACCCGTCGAACCGGGACCACTAGCTGCAACTTGGGATTTCATACTTGGGATCAAATGTTGGTAGCTTAAAGGGGTAAGTGATCATGGCCAGGTAGTTTCATGAAGAATTATGCATACAATACTAACAACTGTAGGATATACTATAGCAATGGATGTTCTTAGCCTTGTCGTCACTACCGCTGAGAGGATCACACATGATCATGTTTGAACTGTTAGGATGAAGCATTGGTGCTTGTCCCCGAGTAGAATCCATATCCGGTCTCTTTACATCACCATATCTTTTTTCGATTTTCTTAGAATTTTAGAGAGTCGTTTAGTCCACATTCGGACATTTTCATTATCTTTGAAAAACCACAAGTTTGAAAAGGAGCTCACATTACATCTTTATGCTCCACACATGGTCATTTTCATACTTAGGCCATTCAGATTATACCATTATCCTTTCGGTTCCATTTACACACCTTTGGGAACCAAATTTTGAGTCAAAGGATTTTCTTGTTAATTTTTTTCGATAGTTAATACATTACCTTCCTGTGTTTTATCAAAATAAAAATCAACAAAAAAAGAACATAGCAAAAAGAAGCATGCAAATTTTCAGTTGCAACTATCTTAGATAGGTGGTCGGTTCAATTATTGAACTAATTTCCCAATATCTTGGTCACCCAGCGTTTGATATTCATTTGTATAGGTCTGTTTTATTGTATATAGATCGAGTTGTTATTTTTTCTTTCTCGCAAATTGGTGATGTTAGGGAGACTGTCGAGTCGGATACTACGGGAGGTTTGGTCCAACACAAAGTGAACTAATTCCTACAATGGTGCCCGATCGATTAAACCTAGTTACACATGAGAGGAACCGACAGATGTGAGATCAGAGTGTGCACTTAAAGAAGAGCTCCACCCGAGCCCATCCAGTTGCTTTCTCCCTACTATAGATGTTCTTCATTGTATGCATGTTCCATTGAGGGTGCGACTGCTCATCCCTCCTTACTCACCTAAAGGAGTTGTCCTAGCTGTGGTTTATGGTTCCATTGTGATCGGATGAAAAAGTTGTGAGATAGCAGCGAAATCAATTCTGACCATGTTGACTAACGTCGAACAGGTTCCGCGGTTCTATCCATTCTTTTTATTTTCCTTAGGATAGTTCATCCCGATTTCATTTTAATCTTGTCTTACTTGAGGACAAGTAAGGTTTAAGGTTGGGGTGATTTGATAGCTTCATTTTATTTACTTTTTTTATAGTTTTTTTAGCACATTGCATCTTATTTTAGTCAATCTTCATGCATATTTTCTCTTTTTGTCATTTTTCTCCTTCACCGGGTGCTTTCTAGTCTTTTGAGCTTAATTGCTGGATTTTCCGAAAACTATTTGTTATTGGAGGCTTAGAAGGATGCGGGACTCATGGAGGCATGTGATTTGCTTGCGGACTTGAAGTGGTGCGATTGGGCTAGGTGCTTGCGTAAAAGAAGAAATCAATTTGGATCTAACTTATGGGCGGAGATGATAATGTGACGGTGCGGAATCGAGCTACAAGAAATGTGAGGAGTATTGGGTCCATCATTAGAAGGCTTTGGAATGGAAAATGGGTCTTAAAGATTTATGATTATTGGCTAAAGTTGAAGAAATGAAGATTGGGCTTCAATGCATATTAAATGGCCCAAGTTTCACATTCAGCGTAACCCACACGGTCCGCATGGGTCCATACGCGGTCCGCGTGAATTGTGCTGAGTTGTTTCCAGGTTTTCACTTGTTGACTCTATTTGTGGAAGTTTCGTGGGTAGCTTTTGGTCTCTTTTTGAATCCGGAAATTAGCTCTCTTTAGCTGGAGATTGGAGGCTCATTGGGGGGGGGGGGGGCAACTGGAAGAACACATTCCACTTTTTCTCTTTAAGAGCTTTGGGAAGATTTGAAGAATATTTGGAAGATTAGTGTAATTTCCTTTCATCTTGCATCTAAGACAATGTTTGGTATCTCTAATCCCTTTTGTTTTTGTTTAATCTTGGCCATGCTTGGCTAGATTTTCATTTGGTTGACTTGGATGTAATTGCTTGAATATTTTGGTTATTTTGAAGAACTCCATGAACTTGTGTTGAATATTTATGATTATATTTTCTATGAAAACTTCCTTCATGGTTATATATCTCTGTCATGAATATTGATATATGAATGTTATCTTTGTTGGTTAAATTCTTGACTAAGTAATGGGTTTTCAATTTAACAAGCAACAATTGGTTTAAATGTTTGTTTTCATTTCATTTTGACTAAGAAAATATTTTCTCCATAGTGGTAATGAAAGCAATAGATCACTCTTTGGATTTGGTGACTCTTAAAACCCAATGCTAATTCATTTTCACAAAATTACATGCTTCATTAGTTTTGTGAGTTTGATTTAGGAAATGTGCTATGAGCTTCTCTAGTCATTTTAACACAAAAGAAGAGTTGAGGCAAGTTATGCTTATAAATTGCTATAGCCAAATTAGATTATAAACACAAGTAATGCGCCTTGGTATTCTCATGATTATTTAACCAAATGTTCAAGTAATGAAAGTCTAAAGTCAGCCATCTTTATCTTATTCATTTTACATCAAACTTTTTCTTTTGTTGAATTGTGTTTTGAAATGTTAATGTAATTCTAGTTTTATTTTAAACATCTTAAAAGATCAAAATCCCCCAATTTTATTTTATTTTAGTTTTACAAGTGTTTGTACACCAAGATTATCATAGAAGTAACAAATTTAACCAATCTCCGTGCATACGATCCCTTTACCACTATACACTATTTTAGTGTGTAATATTTAGGGTTATTAATTTTGTTGGCCTCGACAACCACCATAACCGTTGACAGATTGACCAAGTCTACGCACTTCCTGCCAATAAAGGAAGCCAAAAAGATGGAGAAGTTAACCAGAACGTACATTAAGGAGGTTGTGCAACTGCATGGTGTACTAATATCCATTATCTATGACCGAGATAGTAGATTCACCTCGCGATTTTGGCAGTCCCTACAGAAATCTCTGGGAACTAGGCTAGACATGAGTACAACCTACCATCCGCAAACCGACATGCAAAGCGAGCGCACCATTCAGTCATTAGAAGACATGTTGAGAGCCTGTGCGATAGAATTTGGTAAGGCATGGAATACCCATTTACCGCTTATCAAATTCTCCTATAATAACAACTATCACACTAGCATTATAGTCTCTCCATTTGAAGCTCTCTACGGTCGCAAGTGCAGATCACCCCTGTGTTGGGCTGAAGTAGGGGATACTCAACTAGCTAGGGGGAAAGTCCCTGATAGTACCCTTACTGGGCCTGAAACCATATGGGAGACCACAGAAAAGATTGTCCAAAATTGAGAAAGACTGAAGGCGTCTCGTGATCGATAAAAGAGTTATGTAGACAAACGATGCAAACCCTTGGAATTCCAAGTGAGCGACTGGGCACTACTAAAAGTTTCCCCTAGGAAAGGAATGATATGATTCGGCAAGCAAGGGAAACTGAATCCAAGGTACATTGGGCCATTCAAAATCCTCGCCAGGATTGGACCAGTGGCATACAAACTTCGATTACCTCAAGAACTCGATAAGGTGCACCCCACATTTTACGTATCAAACTTAAAGAAGTGTTTGTCTGATGAGACACTCGTAATACCACTCGATGGAATCGAAGTTAAAAAAAACTCCACTTCGAGGAGGAACCAGTTGAGATCATGGATCGGGAGATCAAAAGAACAAAACAAAATCATATTCCCATCATGAAGGTCCGATGGAACGCTGAACGAGGACCTGAGTTCACATGGGAATGCGAAGATCAAATGAAACAAAAATACCCACATCTCTTCCCGAAATCTTGAAGCCCCAGCCAAAATGCAAATTTCGGGACAAAATTCTTTCTAACGAGGGGATGATGTGACAAGCGTCAAATTCTGGTCAAGCCAAAGTAAAACAAAGTCAACAAGTCAAACCGGATGACAAATTTAGCCCTTGTATGCTAGGGTTTGCATTGTGTATTTACTAAACAACCCGCTATTTTAATGACAAAACATCAATTGGAAATTTCGTATGTTTGAATTTCCATAGCCATGAAAATGCTAAACATTGAACCAAAGCGATAAAACACTATTGCACACTCATCGAGAGTGTGTAGGACCTTAAAACATGGCTTAACGGGGTTTACGGACCTCGCATTGCGAAGCCGGACACTCAAAAAGGTCACAAACGAACCTCTCTCAATCGTTTTCACTCTATCTTTTTCTATTTGTAATCTCTCCCAAATCTCTTTCAAAAGTTCCCATAACCTTTTGAAGTCATTCGGGTCATTCCGACCCATAACCGGGTCAA